GTAAAGACTGGGGCACTTGACAATGGCACGCTCATCACAAATGGACTTAGGCAGCATGGCCATGAGGCAGACATAGCACTGAGGAGGAAAGCGCAACGTTTGCTCAACTTGACGCATGATACCTGTGAACACTTCGAGGGAGTCAATGGGAGCAGAGAGCAAACTGCGTGGCGCCAGCATGTCGACGCCTAGCGACGTGTGTGGCTTGAAACAAGTACAGGCCTTAGCAATATCTTGCACTTCCAGTGGGTCCAAATCCTGCAGAACGACCAATGCTTGCGAACGAAGCTCTCGAAGGCCTGCCTCCAGACACACACGCTGTTCAGAGTTTGGGGTCCACCATCTACTCCACTTCCGTTCCCGAAAACTCATCATCGAGGTTGGGGTGTCCACGATACCATCAGGAGTCAGGAAATACTCAACGCAAACTTTTTCCTCAGCTTTCAAATAGCGATGGACGGGGCTAGCACCTCGGGGAAGGGATGACTGCAACCAAGTGCGCATGCTGCTCCTGGCCTTGGCATGTGCGAGAGACCATGCACGAGCACACACAACACCTGCAGCCTCAACGAGTTCTTCCAATCTATGACACACGTAGGGAGGTTGGTTCAAGCAATCCTTCCACGACACAGCTGCTTGAGAACTCGCAAGAGGCTCGATGTGAGAAAAAATGTGGCACGACAAATCAGCCAAGACGCGCCTGTGCTGTATCGCGGCCTGAGAATACGGAGCCTTTCGAGTCAACTTCATCAACTCATACAGGCGACTAGAAACAAGAGACCAATAGGACAAGTCAGGGTTCTTGAAACTCTGCGCCTGCACGTTGCGAGTCATCAGGGACGAGTCCTTACGCTTCAGCATACAACCCCTGCCTATGTAACGGTGCGTGTCAGTGACAATGGCACATGCACGAGACAGATCACGGAGCTCCATCGCTCTAGACCAGGTAGAGTACTGTATCCCAAGACTTCGAGACAAACCTTCCAAAGTATGAGCGGGCATCGCGTTGTGGAGGTCACCGGGCATCACCAAGGGGGCCTCGAGGAAACTGGGAGCGGCGGCAGCCATGTAACTCAACCAATGGTTATCAGGTCCATACGCTTCAGGGATCTCCAGGGGCTTCACACGGAGACAGACGGGTTCCACCATAGCCTCAAGGTCCAACAACACGTCCAGGCACGCATGGGTCTTGAACGGGGACAGGAGGTCGGCGGAGACTCGCAGATATCCAGACAACCGATTCGAACAGACAACATAGTCAATCAAAGTCTCACCAATCGAACACGTGAACTCAACATTTTTGGGAACCAGGGCCCTAGCGTTCATGAGCTCCAAGATACCCGAATCTTCCAGGAAATCAGCAGACATATTGTAGTCCCCCATCAGGAACCACGGAATAGACAGCCCACGAACAAACTCAGCAACCGCACGAAGCCGAGAAGAATTCTCACCAGAGACTCCAATGGAAGGAATGAGGTAGATCACACCTACTGCAACCGTGCATGACTTCAGACGCATCTCAAGGAAGAACCAACAATTACCTGCTCCAACTTGGACTGCACCCTTAGCTTGAATCAGGAACTTCCGTGTACACAATCTGGGCTGTACAGCAGCCCCAACTCCTCCGTGAGTGCCTCCACCTGGGGACGGTAAAGCACTCTGGAAATGAGGATTCCACTTCATCTGTCGACAGGTCTTCTTGGCACGGAACAGGTTCGACCCTTCAAGGTGATGTTCCGCCATGAACACTCCATCCACCTCAGCGACCTTAGTTGCCAAGAAGTCCTGAGTCAGCTTCGACCACTGTGTGATGTTCACAAACTTAAAAAATACCTGAGTGCTCGCATCTGGCGACTGGCAAGGCGCTAGCGAGCGTGGGCCTTCGGCTCGCTGGGCCGAAGGCAACAGGTCGTCAAAGAGGCTGCTGCGAGCGGGCGTCAGAGGCGGCAGCACGCCCAGCGCCTTTTGCAGCGGGAGCAGCAGCAGGGAGATGTCCAGGTGGTACGGCAGCAGCAGCACGTGGAACCCCCATCTGCTTGGCCGTGGCAACACAGAAGTTGCGGTACATGTCGGCCGTGACGGAGGACACAACTCTGGCACGCTTGCCCGCCTTCGCCATGATGCGCTTGGAGAGAAGGTCGGTATACTCCTGGGCAGCCTGCACGTCCAAGCCTTGCTCCGCCGCACGCCTCTTGAGGTCACGGTACTTGTCGCGATCCTGGGGATCCATGTCATTGTCGGCAACTTCACTGCCCAGGTCGGATAGGTTATCCTCATCAACGCCTCGCATCCGCTGCAGATGGAGACGGTACTGCTGCCACTGCTCCAGGCCGATGGCCGAGTGGGCAACCAGCTTATCGAGGTCGTCATCTGAGAAGGTGTGCAGGTTGGTCTCAACATACATGTAGTCCACAACATGGTCACGCAGCCAAGGAACACCTGCATCATCCTCCTCCATGGGCTGTGGCTCCTGCATGGGCTGCGCCTCCGCGCCGCCGCT